TTTTTTGCATCTGGAAGTGGCGACAACTGCTGTTAAATGGCTCCTTAACCCCCACGGGGGCCCTTCTACAGCAGGGAGGGCTGTAGGGCCACCTGTGGGACCACCTGATGGATCCTGGGAGCATCCAATGGATCCTGGAATCGATGGATCCAGGGAATATCCAATGGATCTTGGCCTTGTCCAATGGATCCTGGGACCACCTGGTGGATCCTGGCCCCTGATGATGGATTCTGGGACCATTGAATGGATCCTGGCGTGGACTTAAGGATCCTGACCTCAGCTGGTGGATCCTGGCACGGGTTGATGGATCCTAGGACCGCCCAATGGGTCCTGGAATGAGTTGATGGATCCTGCCATCATTCAATGGATCCTGGCACGGACTTAAGGATGCTGCCCTTAAGTGATGGATCCTGGCACCACACGATGGATTCTGGGACCATCAAATGGATCCTAGGCTCATCCGTTTGGTCCTGAAATGGGTTGATGGATGCTGGCATCACCCAATGGATCCTGGCATGGACTTAAGGATCTTAGCCCCAGGTGCTGGATCCTGGCACCGCATGATGCCTCTGGCTCCATGTGATGGATCCTGATGGATCTGGTCCTACCTGATGGATCCTAGTGTGGGTTGATGGATCCCAGCACCTCCTAATGGATCTGGACCCAATGGATCCTGGCATGGACTTTTGGATCCTTGCCCCATCTGACGGATCCCAGCACAACTCCTGCTGGATCTGCTCTCAGGTCACGGATCCCAGCACCTCCTGTTGGATTCAGGCCAGCGTGGTCCCCTTGGCAGTGGGGGAAGGCCCCGTCCGTGTCCCCATGGAGCTGCTCGTGTCGTGGACGTTGTCGTGTTACCTCTGTGCCGTGTCGCCGTCAGCGGCTGTTCTGTGGATACCTGCAGCCCTGAATACAGCGTGTGCTCCTGCAGCCATCTGCCTCCACGCCTGCTTTGTGGGGATGGGGGGCAGGGAGGGGCTGCTGCGTGTCTGCCATTGATTGCTCTGGTGCTTGGGGGAGCGGGGGGTCCCAAAGGGGCTTCTGTGTCCCTTTGTGGGGGTCTGGAGTTTTCCTGGGGAGGGAATGCGGCTGCTGGAGGGAATTTGTGCTCCTGAGCACATTGTGGGTTCAGAGAAGGGGTTGGGTTGGAAGGGGACCTTGAAGACCCTCTGGTTCCACTTCCCACAAGGAACAGAGACAAGGTCCCCCCCCCACTTTTCTGTGGTTTTATGGTTCGGAAGTTGACCTTCAAGGACCCTTCCAACCCACCCCGTATTTCACCTCCAAGGACCCTTCCACCCCACCCACCGTATATTTGTCCTCCAAGGACCCTTCCAACCCACCCACCCCATATTTGACCTTCAAGGACCCTTCCAACCCATCCATCCCATATTTCACCTTCAAGGACCCTTCCAACCCTCCCTATATTTCACCTCCACGGTCCCTTCCAACCCATCCGTCCCACGTTTAACCTTCAAAGACCCTTCCAACCCACCTCATATTTGACCTCCAAGGACCCTTCCAACCCACTCCGCGTGGTTCTGTGGGTGACCATTAAGATCACAGACCCTCCTGGTGTCACGGATGGAGATGCTGAGTGCAGCTCCCATTGCTGACCCCGCATGGCAGCGCCGTCACCGCTCTCCACCCGCGGATCCTTGGCTGCAGCTGTGGGTTCGGTCCCACCTTCAGCTCAATGACTACAACTACAACTCCCAGCGTGCTCCGCGCGCGTCGCTTCCCAGCACGGGGGGCGCCCATTGGGCGGCGACGCTCAGCCAATCAGCGGGCTCCTTGTTGAGAGGGCCGTGAGGCGGCTCTGAAGGAAAGGGGCAAAGATGGTTCTGGAGAGCACCATGGTGTGGTGAGCGGGCCGGGCCGGGCCAGGAGCGCAATAACCTCCGCCTCGGTCCTTCTCCCTTCTCTTTCTCCCTTCCCCGCGTCCCGCTGCGCTCCGTGGGCCGCGCGGCGCCGCTGAGGGTTTCCCTGAGTCATGGCGGGTTGGGGCACGGCCGGGCCCGGGGGGGGGGTGGGGGTTAAAAAGGGCCCTATGGGAGGGGGGGGCTGCAGGAGGGCGGCACTGCTGTGCTGCTGTGTTTCGGGGACCGTAATGATCGTCTGCAGGACTGGGGAGGGGAAGGAAGGGGCCTGGAAGGTGAACCGTGGGATGGTTGGGTTGGAAGGGTCCTTGAAGGTGATTGATGGAGTGGTTGGGTGGGAAGGGTCCTTAAATATTAACCGTGTGAGGGCTGGATTTTAAGGGTCCTTGAAGATCAACCGTGTGGTGGTTGTATTGGGTTGTGTTGGAAGGGTCCTTGAAGATCAGCTGTGGAACAGTTGGGTGGGAAGGGTCCTGAAAGGTCAACTGCTGTGGGATGATTGGGCAGGAAGGGTTCTTAAATATCAACCATATGATGGTTGTGTTGGAAGGGTCCTTGAAGATCAGCTGTGGAATGGTTGGGTGGGAAGGGTCCTGAAAGGTCAACTGCTGTGGGATGGTTGGGCAGGAAAGGTCCTTAAATATCAACCATATGATGGTTGTGTTGGAAGGGTCCTTGAAGATCAACCTTGAAGATCAACGTGGAATGGTTGGGTGGGAAGGGACATTGGCAGTGGGATTCAGGGCCCCCTCAGCGTGTTTGTGGCTGACACTGAGCTGCACCCCTGAGGGATGTTGTTTTTTCAGTGTTGACAACAGTGAGTACATGAGAAATGGGGACTTCTTACCCACTCGCCTGCAAGCTCAGCAGGATGCTGTCAACATCGTGTGCCACTCCAAGACCCGTAGCAACCCCGAAAACAACGTGGGGCTCATCACCTTAGCCAAGTATGGGGCTGGCCAGGGTTGGTTAAAGTGGGGCTGGTGGTTGGGAGCAGGGCAGTGGGGCACGCTGCTGTATGTGCATGGATTGCACGCTTTGTTTAGGAAACCAGGTTCCACATCTTGGCCCTGTGTGCTCTGATACCACAGAGCTGAGTGCTGCAGACCTGGAGGAGCTGCGGGAAGGGGGGTGGGGGGTTCCTCATTCTGTAGCAAAGACAGGGTTTCACAGAGAGGTTCTCAAACAGCTTCACTGCAGTGTGTTTCTCTTGCAGTAACTGTGAAGTGTTGACCACACTCACTCCAGACACGGGACGGATCCTTTCAAAGCTACATACAGTGCAGCCCAAAGGGAAAATAACCTTTTGCACAGGGATCAGAGTTGCTCACGTAAGTGGTTGTCTGTTACTCCAAACCGAGCTTGCATCTTTCTTTGTAACAAGTGATGGCTGAGTGTGTCCTGTTAGATCTGCTCCTGACTCTACTGCTGAGCAAATCCTTGGCTTTGCCTCAGAAACCTTTGTAAAATTCATTGTGAAAGCTCAGCCTTGGGAATCTTGCTCTGCTGCACGGCGGCTCACG